CACCGTGCGACTGCAGAGCAGTTTCGCCGGGTTGGGCTGACTGGCCACCTGAACATTGTGGCCCATGGCATCCCCCCTCATTGATCCCAATGTGATATGCAATAGGGAGTGTGTATTTTAGTATTTATGTATCCTGTGAGATGTGCATTTTTGCCTAAATTGTTTTAACCTGTTTACTTTTTATTGCACTTTTGTGCCTATGTAAGCCGCCCTGAGCCCGCATGTGGGGAGGGCGGGGTATAAATGAAATAAAATTAATTAATTAATTAATTATGTGTATTCTTTTGAAGGCTGACACATAATATTGCATATATAGCAACAAATCAGTTTTAAGGGACAGTGTCATTTTTCAAATAATGGTATAATTTCTTTTATTGCTAATGCCATGTAATTCTTCAATTTATGCTGTGTTAACTCCTTCCTTCCTTTTCACTACATTTTTCACTATTTTTCACTACATTATTTTAAACATTTCTAGTCTGCCTTTCAACCCAAATAAAGGTAAAGGTTCCCTTGCTCCAAAACCAGTTGAGTCCGACTCTAGGGTTGCGGTGCTCATCTCCGTTTCAAAGCCGAAGAGCCAGCGCTGTCCGAAGACGTTTCCATGGTCATGTGGCCGGCATGAGTAAACACCAAGGCGCACGGAACGCTGTTACCTTCCCACCAAAGTGGTACCTATTTATCTACTTGCAATTTCTTGCTTTCGAACTGCTAGGTTGGCAGGAGCTGGAACTAGAGACGGGAGCTCACTCCGTCATGCGGCAACTCAGGTCTCGAACTGCTGAACTACTGACCTTCCACAGCCTGCAGTTCAGCGTCTTAACCACTTGATCTACTGCAGCTCCTCAACCCAAATAGGGCCCCCAAAATGGCAAACATCAAACATTTCCACGTTTTAAACATTTTAAATAAATGATACATACAATAATTTAGCAAAAACATATAAACCAGGGGTTTCAAACAAGGCCCGTGGGCTGGAAGCGGCAGCTCTTTCCCCCTCCTCCCCTCCTCACCCTTTGAAGCTTTTGGCTGCTGAAGTTCCCAGCTCCCTCTGTTCTGTCTTTGCCTGCTTCGGCAGGAAGCTCTTCTGGGCTTGCAAAGTTACAAAGAAAATACAGAATGGATTTTTCCATTAAGTTCTCTGCACCCAGATAGACTACTCTGGGATTGTTTCCAGCAAACAGTGCTCTGGGACTGGAATGACAGCCCCCAGAGTAGCAATAGAATCTGTTCTGGGACTGGAATGACAGCCCCTGGGAGTCGCAGCAGCATTCTGGGAATGGAATTCCACTCTGGGGGCCCTCATTCCAATTCCAGTGTTCCCTCTAAGCTGAGTTAGTATGAGCTAGCTCACAGTTTTTTAGCCTCCGGCTCACACATTTTTGTCTTAGCTCAGGAAGGATGGCTCCAGAGCAAACTAATTTATGCAGTAGCCAAATCGCTCGCTCACACCTTTAATGACAGCACCTCACAAAGTAGAATTTTTGCTCATAAAACTCCACAGCTTCAAGGGAGCATTGATCCTAGAATGCTTCTGCTACTCCCAGGGACTGTCATTTCACTCTGGTGGCTGTCATTCCAGTCCCAGAGTAGTGTATCTTGGCCCAGAAACCTTAATAGGAAATCCATTCTGCATTTTCTTTGCAACTTTATCTGTGCTGCAATGTATTTCAATGGAGTGGAGCTCAAGAAGTTTCATTTTCTAGTGTTTGTATAGTTGAAGCTGTTGCTTGTTGGAGTTGTCTCCTTGCAAATACAAGGTTGATGTTTTGAGCCAGCTTGCCTCTGCTGAATGGACCTGAGAACTGGTGTCTGAATGAGTACTCTAACCTGGGGAGCCAAAGGGGAACATTACACTGGATAGCCGCTGCCATTCTGAGTAGATCTGGGGGGAGGGGAGAAGCTTGCACTGCCCAGCCATTTTATGTTCCTAGGCTCAAAGCATTTTATATTTTTAGTTTCTGCTGTGATCCTTGTGCTTTTTCTTGATTTTTTATTTTAAAAATTTCATTGCCAAACCCCACTATTCCCCCACCTTTCCATTTTAGGCAGGCATCTTTGGGGGGAGAGGTTTGGGAGGTGTCAGTTATCAAAGACTGTTAAATAAACAAAATATTGCAAGAGTTTTAAGCATATTTGTATTTTAAGTAAAACAAAATATATTTGTGTTTGTATCTTTTATAAAGTTTATCTGTTACCTGGCATTACATTTTACAACATGCATGGCCTGGCCCCCACAAAGCCCCATTTATGTCAGATCCAGCCCTTGGAACAAATGAGTTCGACACCCCTGTATATAAACCATTCATAACACTAAAAACCAGGGAGGAGGCCAACAGCAGTTATTGGAGGTATAAAGTCTTCACCCAGTGGCAGAAAACAACCATCGATAGAGACCGACAAATCTTTCTGGGAGCCAACTTTTCCAAGTCATGTTCAGCTGTCCTCCTTCTCATACATCTTTTATGTGTGCAATGCAACATGAGACACTTAATACTGATCTTGGAGGCTTGAGTATGTTTCAGCACCATCCATGTCTGACCTCATGAGTTTCTTGCATGGTGTAGTACCTGTGCAAGTACAGTATAATAACGAAGTCTAAGGTCACTTATAGTTGAGATCCCATCTCACTTAAATGTTTCCTGAAGATAGGGTTACAATGTTAGGCTGCTTCTAAATGTGCTTGTTTACACCATTGCTAATGGTAGATGCCACATTGTAAGACCTGGAGGTATGCTCCAGACTATGTTTAGGTGTGTGTGGTATAACGTATTCCCCTTACACAAGATATTTGGCATAAGGCTAGCCCTACCATTGAGCATCAGAAGCTGGTCCACATCCATGACAAATTGTTGGGCTTCATTAAAGGATACAAATTGTTCGCAGTTTTAACCACCTTCCCACCCATCTAGGCCAACTAGAGTTTGCCTAAAGACTTTGAAGAATTCCTGGTTTTGAATTATGCTCTGTATGCAAGGGGAGGGAATGCAGTCACAAGAAGCCAGGTTTGTGTCCATCATTTAACAAACCTCTGAGATGTCTGACTACAGGCAAAGATGTAGTCTTACCTCAGCCAGAAACTGCTCTTGTAACTCACAGCCTTCTAGGAAGTGTCACCAACTCTTTGTGCTGTAAGAAGTGTGTTACAAAAGCAAATACACCCCTGTTCAGAGGCTTTTAAATTTTTATTTCAGTGAACACAGTCCAATTTCAAACAATTTATTAAAGTGTAGCTATTCAAACTTTTTAAATACAGTGGGTGTGAGCAGAATGCTCTTGAAAATCCCTAGCATAAATAAATCTTTCATCAATATCATTAAATAACTTAATGTTTCTTAGAATAAAAACTTAAGAAATCAGCTGGTTGAAACAAAATAGAATGGTTTTAAAAATTAACCATTTTAGCTCATACAAGTGAAAGATACTTAAAAATGGAAACAAAAAGTTGTTCTTTTTCAACTCCAACCAAGCGCTTTTGGTGTGTTCTCACAGGAATTTTGCCACCCTGCTTTCAGAACCTTCTCAAAGAGGCCTGACTTCCTCCAAGGACTTCCTATTGCTCCTTCAACACAGCTTCTGCTTTCAGTCTTTTCCCAACAGCGCAGTCAAACATCCTTCGGTTTCACACAATGTACAGCTCAACCTCAACCTCCCCACTTGACATCAGTTACTGTAATCCTTGTGTTATGCTGAGAAATTACTTCCTGAGCAAACTTCTAAAGTATTTTAAAACTTCAGTGCAAATTTTTTAAAAATCCAGTTTAATTTAGTCCGTAAACTGTCACCGTTCAGGAAGGTTGATCACTGGGACCCACTGATCCATATAACGGCTCTCCCGGCAAAAACAGATCAGCTGACTCAAGGCTGGATCCTTCCATTGAGAGGCATGTGGATTCTACAGAGAAGCGAAAGGACCAATAAGTCAGCATGAAATGAACTTCTGCCAGTCATAACATAAACCTATCCATAAATGCCTTAAGTTGTTCTAGCTAGGAACTATCCTTATACAACAGGGAAATCCATCTGTCCCCTTCTGTTGCCATCTTCTGCCAGTAGGTAAAGATTTATTTTTCATCTGGCATTCCCCAATGGTGATCCCTCCTTCCCAACCAAAGTTTTAATTTCTCTTTTTATGACTTGCATGTATTTTAACTCTGTTGTTAATTGCTTTAGTGATGCGTGGTTTGGAGTGTGTATGATTTTGAGTAGCCCTTCTGAGGGCAGAAAGGCAGGATATAAATTTTGTAAAATAAAATCAATACACAGACCCCTTTATTCTGTCACAACCAAACATCTTTTGCAGCATTCTTTAAATCAGGCTTTCTCTCTGTGTTTGCCACAGTACATTTTACTGTGTATTATGCATTAACTTTTTTTATTAGTAAAGGATACAGTGAAGGTTACGGATTATCCAACTGAAATCCTTATAGGTGCTTGAGCTCTTTTTGTGAGGAGTAGAAGTCAGGAGTATCTTCAAACAATTCAGACTATTTTAGGAAGTTACCTATAGCGTAGTTTATGATAAAGTTTAAGCAGTAGTCTTAATATAATTTGATTATCATTTTTGGTTGTATTAAACACATACTATGTTAAGCAGAAAGTAAATCTTAAGTGCTTATCTCTCAATTTTTTAAATCTCTATGAGCAATCAGCCAAAAAACACATATGAATGTTTGCAAGAATTGGGCCATTAAATCAGGTAAACCTCATACTTTTGTAATTTCATACTTGGAGGTAAACTGACCTATTCCTCCCAAAAAAACACCCCCCTTTTCCCTTCTAAACACATTTCTAATCATTTGATTTTTAAAAATTACAATATTGTATTTACTGAAACGGAAAATGTTACACAAATAAAAGAATTGTTGTCATAACTGTAATTTGTATGCTTATGTAAGATAACCCCCTCTTTATTACGTTCCTGTGCAAAAACAGTCTTGCATTTGAGTAAATACTGTAAAAATACTGGCACAGGAAATGTGCATCTAAAAACATATTCTGGACTATGATTTCAACTTCCCACAAATCACATTTAATTCTGTGAACAACTCAGCATTGAGTAACAGTGATCAATGTTTTCATCATAGTTACAATGAGCTATCTAACAATGACCTCTGAGCCAATTAGTAATAAGGAAAGGCAAATATAGGCAGGGAGTTACTGTAGGAAGGTGACTCATGGAGTTGTCTTCTCCTGTTGTCAACAGGATGGAACGTGTTTGAACATGTCTGTGCTTTGAAAATTTCTGGGAGCAAAGTAGGAACTGTGATGAGATTTGTGCAGAGGAAAGGCTACCTAAAGGTCAGATTCCTGCCTTTTAAACCTGAAAGAGCCAAGTGCACCAATGCAAGGGCACTGAACGAATCACCACAGTACCTACCAGGCTTAAACTAAGGAACTCCTCTTGAAAGGATGATGGTTAGAGATTTTAGACAGATTTGCAATTCAAGTTTATCTCAAGAAAGTGCTACTTTTTGCAGCCAAAGACAGAGACCCTGAAGCATCCGTTGGGTCAACCTGATCCAATGCTCCAGCTGTTTATAAAGCCTGGCACTTACCGTCACAAGTATGCAGTGCAGATCTGCAGGCTGTTCGCCTCCCCCAGTTGCTCCTAAGAGCAGCAGATCGGCTAGCCGGCTTGGATTGCTCACTCTGAGTATGTTAATGTCATTCTCACAGCAAAATGCTTGGATCAGGGTGAAGTGAATTTGTAGAGCAACATCCTGATTGTCTTCCTCATCTGCAGCTAGCAGACAAAGCACTACATTATCTGGATCCCTGCAGGGGTAAAACAATGCAGAGTCAGTCAAAGCCCCACAAACAATGATTCATTTTACAATAACAGAAAAGGGACAAAACAGGAACTACATGCCAAGCAGATGCTCTACCTCTGAACCACAGCCCCTCCCCTGCTAAAGTCACAGGGCATATAAATGTAGCTAATAATTCTGGCTGTACACAAAATGTACAGGTTCATCATACTTTACACTCATCAGATTGATTGATTTTTCAAGTGCTCAGTGTCTAATACTCTGATTCAATGGACAGAGAGGATTTTGCTTTGTTTCCATTGATTACATTTAGGCACTAAACTGAAGGGCACATTTTCAAAACCACTGGTCAGCAGTTCCCATTGTGTCAACTGTCACTGGGTGCTTGGAACTCTAGCATTCTGGGTAAAAAGGACAAACATGCTTCTGAAATCTGGCCCATAGATAAACTCAGCGCTTGAAGAGCATGCATCATACAGATGAACAAACAGTTACATTACTGTTTGGCCACATTAGCACCTTGAACCCTATCCACACACTATAAAATTCACACCTTAAGCACACAGCAGGTCTTGACTGCACGGGAGTCTCCTCAGGTTGAACAAGAATGAAATAAACATACGAGACAACATGCACTGTGGCCCAAGGGAAGTGGTTATTAATCAACCCACAATAATTACAATAAGGTACCAAAAAAATAACCAATTCTCACACGTTGAGCAGTTTGGCAGCCTCATATACTCCAATAGTGATGCTTCTTTGGCTCAGGGCTTTGCTTAGGACTTCCTCCAAGGCATTCCCTACCTTGTCCATGCTGAAAGAAGCCAAAGAGACTAGTAAGATTCAAACGAACAAACAAGAAAAGCAAACTCCTCACAAGAGGAAGCAAAAAAATTACCATGCATCACTTTCTCAGCACCCATGACCTCCCTGCACCCTCCTCATGGTGCAAAATTAAGGGTCTGAAGTGAACACACGCCTTAATCCCAAGGGACCGGACTCATGGAGCAGTGGGCGTCAGATGCAGCCGCAGCGGAATTCTTTCTCCGCTTAAGTCATTCCGATTTAAGCAGGAACTGATTTGTCTCCTGTCAGGCGCAATCCGTACCTCTCCACAGCCTCTCCGATTTCTGCCTCACACACGCCACACGTACACACAAACAAAAGCGCGCTCGCATCTCCTTTCTCCTGCATCGGCTCTTCTCAGATCCCCTTCAGGCATTTTTGGTTTTTTTGCACCATCGCTTTCCGTTTCGTCCACCCACTCCCCCCCCCCCCCCCCCCCCCCCCCCCCTTCTTCTTAAAGTGCCCCCCCCCCCACGCACACACACACAGCTGTGAGGCGGCGGTCCCCAAGCACTGGTGACCAATGTTCCCTCTAAGCTGTAGAGTCCTGAGAGCAAAAATTCTACTTTGTGAGCTACTGGCATTAAAGTTGTGAGCAGGTGATTTGGCTCCTGCATAGATAAGTCTGCTCTGGAGCCCTCCTTCCTGAGCCGAGACAAAAATGTGTGAGCCGGAGGCTAAAAAACTGTGAGCTAGCTCACACTAACTCAGCTTAGAGGGAACACTGCTGGTGACCACCACATCTCTCTGCGGTGCGCTTCAGGATTGCAGGCAACGCGACCTCCCCACAGCACAGCCGAAGTCTTGTCAAGTGGGAGTTACATGTTGTACCTTCCCAACGTCTGATGATCTCCAGCGAGCTCTTCCAGAGTCATGTTGCGGCCGCAAATCCCTTGCAAGGAGGGAAAAGGAGAGGCAGCTGGAACTGGGTGCCCTGCCCTCGTTTCCTCCTGGTTCCCCCCTCCCCTTCTTCTTGTCAAACTGGATGAGTGCTCGGCTTCTGCCCAGAGTGCTGCCTTCAAGCGAACTTGTAGCCGCCCTGCATGCGGCTCGATCAGCCCGCAGCTTCCGCAGTACTTTGCTCCTGGCCCAGCCGCTCACATGCCCTTCTCTTCCCCCCGCCCCGCTTGCAGCCCCTGCAGCCCCTTCGCCCCGCCCGACCGCCGCGGCTCCGCACCACCACTCTGAGGGACAAAGGCTTCCTTGGCTGGAGTTATCCTGCCAACCCCTAGCCAACCGTCTCTCCCTTCGTTTGCATACAGCCACCCCATTGGGTCATGCAAATAAGCCGTAGCTCACGCCTCGGTCTCCCCCCCCCCGCCCCGCCCCGCCCCGCAGGTGCTGCGAGCCTCGGGAAAGCTGGGTCAGGAACTTTCCCTGCTGTCTTTGGTGCCGATTGGAAGATGACGAGGTTTTGGAGGGGCGGGGTTTGCTGTGGGAGAGCGAGCCGTGGATGGCTCAGTCGGCCTCCTGCTTCAGCTGTTTTTCTTGTTGTGCACATTTTCCCCCCGTCTTTGTTGTTTTTTTTTCCGGGAGGGAGTTGGAGGGATTGACCATAAGCTTCTGTTTGCATGCCTAAATGCTTTTGCAGATCGCCCTTTCACAATAAATAGCTGTTCGTAAGCAGGTTGGAAAAGCCACAGAGTAGCTGCAGTGAGTTTTAACTCTCAGAGACCTGGGATCGCAATGTGCTGGGGCTCCCCATGGCGGTCTTTATCGGCTCCCAAGGGCGCCGTGGGTTGGGACCACACACGTGAGAGGATTTTATGGGCGCTTTTTAATGAGAACCCTTGCAGGTATTTGAGCACAGGCACCACTTCTCGACTGCAATGACCTGTGACCTTAGGTCACACTTATGGCTTGATTTTAATGAGGCACCAACCGCTTGCTGCACATTAATCTCAGGGCAAAGATCTGTTTTAGCAGGTGTTTGGCACGTCTGAAAAATAAGGCCTGAGCTGCAGTTTCTGTGGTATGTTTCACTTTTTTTTTTTTTATGAGACAATTATGTAAAGAAAGCCTAATGGTATTAGATTTCTCCAATTTTCTTGAAGAGATCTCTAGTCCTTCCCATTCTATTGTTTTCCTCTATTACTTTGCACTGCTCATTCAGGAAGGCCTCCTTATCTCTCCTTGCTGTTCTCTGGAAATCTGCATTCAGTTGATTCATTATCTCTCCTTGCTGTTCTCTGGAAATCTACATTCAGTTGGGTAAATCTTTCCTTTTAACCTTTCCCTTTCGCTTTTCTTCTTTGCTATTTGTAAAGCCTCATCAGACAGCCACTTTGCTTTCTTGCATTTCTTTTTCTTTGGGATGGTGGTGATTGCTGCCTACTGTTCAATGTCATGAACCTCCATCCATAGTTCTTCAGACATCCTGCAGTGCAAAGTTAAATGGGCCTTAGAAAGCATTACTAACAACAAAGCTAGTGGAGGTGATGGTATCCCAGCTGAGCCAGGGCTATTTTTGGGCAGGAACGCACAGGAACGGAATTCCGGCTGCCTCCCAAGTTGGCCATGCCCAGCAGGAACTCATTAGCATAACAGGCCACACCCAACAGCAGAAACTCATTAGGATTGGCTACATTAGGGGCGTGTGGCCTAACATGCAACCTGCTACAAAAAAGCCCTGGGTTTTCACAACAAACAAGGTAAACAGAATAACAAGCAAAAGGTGGGTGTGGCTGGATAACCACACTTCTGGTAACATGGGGGTGCGGCCTAATGTGCTAATGAGCTGTGCTGTCAGGGGTGTGGCCTAATATGCTAATGAGTTTCTACTGTTGGGTGTGGCCTATTATGCTAATGAGTTCCTGCTGGGCTTTTTCTACAAAAAGAGCCCTGAGAGCTATTCAAACTCTTAAAAGATGATGCTGTTAAAGTGCTGCACTCAATTTGCCAGCAAATTTGGAAAACGCAACAGTGGCCACAGGATTGGAGAAGGTCAGTATACATTCCAATCCCAAAGAAGGGCAATGCCAAGGAATGTTCAAACTATTGCACAATTGCACTCATATCACACACTAGCAAGGTCATGCTCAAGATCCTACATAATGAAACTGAAGCTCAAATACTTTGGCCCCCAAATGAGAAGGGAGCACTCACTGGAGAAGACCCTGATGCTGGGAAAGATTGAAGGTCAAAGAAGACGGGGACGGCAAAAGATGAGATGGTTAGACAGTGTCATAGATGCAACGAACATGAAGTTGAGCAAACTTCAGAGGACGGCGGAAGACCGGAAGGCCTGGTGTGATCTGGTCCATGGGGTCGTGAAGAGTCGGACTCGACTGTGCGACTGAACAACAAAATTAGAAGATTGGCCGAGCTAGTATCCTTCCTCTGTATGACAACTGACACTATGCAGTACTGTGACATCCATACTGGATTTTTAAAAACTTTCTTAACAAATTTATAGCCATCAGTCTTTTACAAGGGTTTTTCCTGTTTGCAACCTAAATCTTACCACTCAGCCATAAAAATCCTTCCTGCTG